GGATGAATTACTATATCTACTCTTGGTCCGGCCCCCGGGTCCAATATATGAACCCATTGCGGCCCTCAAGTCAAAAAGTTTGCCCACCCCTGAGCTAGAGACATTCCTGCTGAGAGACCTGCCTTTGGCACTCTGTAAACAATACTCTTTGAAGAGCTGTATTAATTCCTTGCTGCTGGCTGTAGATGCCACTTCTAACATGATAAAGATTTAAAGTGCTATTAATGCCAAAACAAAAAATGTAATATATTGTAGCTTACTAATCATTAGAGGTGGTGGATGCATTCGTTTGCCTTTTTTTTTTTTCTTTTTTTTTTTTAGGCATTTTGTCCCCTCTGCTTTCCCTGGTCAGTAACACACCTCCTGTACTACAGTGTCCCCACTCTGGATGAAGGAGCACAGGGGGCACAGCAGCACTGTCAGTATGGGGGAGTGTACTAGCAGATTTAGGACTCATGTACACTGCAGCTGCTAAACTGACGTTCAGGAGCTGTTCTGCGTTTTTTTCAGCAGCACCTGAACTCTCCCTAATGTTTTCCTATGTGTCCATGTACACTATGTCGTTTACAATCATTTACAGGCAGTTGAGTTTACAGTCGTTTTTTTGAACACACCAAACTTGCTTTCTACTCGCTTAAACGAGTGTAAATGCGGTTAACCGCATTTATAAGCGTTTGCGTTTAGAAGCACTTTTTAACTGTTCCATATCCAGATGCTGTCCAGACCCTTTTTTCATCATCAGAAATGCATCCAAAGCGTTTTCCATGTATTCAAATGGACCCGGTACACCAGCGCAGTCAGTTCCAGGTTTCGCGTGAAGGAAAAAATGGTAGAACGTGCCGCATTATGCTCATGATGGGATCCATAGTGAATACAACCAGAAAAGACCGGTAATCTCAACACATACTGCTCTCTCTGCTTCCGTTCTCTCTATTCCTCTCAAAATGTCTGAAATAGTTAATTATATATACTATTTTTCTGTGCATTCTGGAAGGTCTCCTGAGGTTATCTTTTAAAAATGCTTCTAAATGCAAACGCTTCTAAACGCGGTATGCAAACGCATCTAAACTGACGTTTTTTAACCTACGTTTTCCAGCAGTCAGTTTCCATCTTTCAGAAGAGTTTTCCAAATGCCCCATGTACATGAGCCCTTAGATCTAACAAGTTGGAGCCAAACTCCAGCTAACACTTTGCAAGCAGTTTCAGCAGTTTTGTTCTTTTGGATAAAGGTTTTACATAAATAAATAAAAGCTGATCACTGTAAGCACCCGTCATTAGTAAATGGTTTGGCTCAACCCTTTAACTGCTACATCTGCAGAACAGCTTGTTCTGTTGAAAAACAACAGATTTACTGGCCAGATCACCAGTTGAAAATAAAGGAAAAAAAGCCCCCAAAAAAAGAAAATGAATGCAGCCACCACATCTAAGAATTGGTAAGCTGCAATATAATATTTGCTTTTGGGTTTAATACCACCTTAAAGTGGTAGTAGAGTCCGCTCTTTGTTTTATACTTACAAGTAAGCCTATAATAAGGATTACCTGCATGCACACTGCACTCTGTATGGACACTGCCATCCATTCAGTGCTCTGTCCCAGGGCTGTGACTCCCGTGCACATGAGTGGAAGTGACTCCGCACACAAGTGACGGACCAAGGATGTGAACCTGGAAGGAAGACTGGGTGAAGACAGAAGCCCTGTCAGCAGTGACAGCACACCGCTGGAGGGCTTCATTTTAGGGCAAGTCTGTCATAAGCCATGTGTCTTGTGATAACCCAAGTGGGATACAAATGATTACATCAAACACTTGTTGACATTTCTTTACTAAAACACTTAGTGCCCACATGTCTGCCATTTTGTGTAATTGCTCTGACTTGGCAGATGATCGTTCTTGTGTGAGTGCTGTTAGTATGCGTTTTGAATGTAATGTGCTTTACATGTGTACTGCTGATATTTTGTGGGATGATGAAATATGCACACAGCCTGAGAACACAGCTAAGTCACAGAGACTGCTAACTCTGTGGCTTAAGGCACATTAGAATTCTGAAAATATTTTTTTGTTGAACAAAACCACGAAATTATGTAATTAAACAGAAGCTATCCAGTTAAAAATGTGCTCTCCAGTCTGTGAAAGCAGTTTTTGCCATATCTAGTTCTAACAGTCTGTGTTGTCCAGGCCTCCAGGATTTCAACTAATTGCCTCTCTGCTCCTACCTGGAAGAATGGAAGCCCAAATAACTTTGACATTCTCTGGTTCTTGGTTTGTTGAACAATGTGTAACTCTATTAAAGGGCAACCTTACCTAAGGTTTAAAGTCCCCCACCCCCCAGAGTGCAGAAAGTCTGGGATTATACCCAACATCAGACCCTATCCAGCAATCTTTCTGTTGATATGGACCCCACCAGCGTCTGCATGTGTACCACGGTCCACTTATTCCTATGAGGAAGGGCCTGCTGGAGGCCGCCTTGAGTATGGGTACCCATAAAATTCAGTGTGCCTCTAGTGCGTATGTACAAAATGAGTAGTCAGATCCATGTTGGTGGTAAAATCACTGGATTAGGTCTAACGGTAAGTATAAGTCTAGGCTACCTGCACTCAGGGATATATGGGTTTACAATAAAGGACAGCTTCATCAAAGGTTGAAATACAAAGGATTTGTAATTCTGCTTAACCAGTCTTGTGAACGCCTGCCACAATGCATAGGCTGGACTTCCAGGAAGAGTGCACTTAACTTATGCAATACAGCCTGGTCTAGATCTTACCAAGGTTGGGACTAGCAAGAAAAGAGTAGTGGCACCATGATGATCATCCCAGTGCTCCTGTAAGTTTGGCATTTGTTGTACTTTTGTAACATGAGAACCTCAGACGTTTAGATGAGAAGTTCAGGTTTAAGGTTTGAATGCCACTAATAGTGATAATAATCATCCAAATCACTTAAGGGTTTTAAACGCAAGATACATCCCGAAAAGAAACTACAAAATATTTTGGACACATCTCACACATCCAGCTTCTCTCCCCCTGCCACCCACCACCACCATTATCAGCAAATTGATTTTTTTTATTACACAGCAGGAGTGATACTACAAGCAGGAACAGCACTACTTTGGTGTAAAATACACTTGCTGAAAGTTTGCAAGTGTCATTGAGTACATAAATACAATGTAACAGAGTACTGCTTCATTGTATTTACCATTCTATTACCATGCCGAAAAAAGGTGTGACTTTTCATCTGCTCATCCGTTAAAACCTTACAAGTAAAAAAATATATATATAAATATATATATATATATATATTTTTTTTAAATAAAATGTATTCCAGTTCAGCTCTAATTCCTTTCTACCTTTCTTCCCTAAGGTATTATCAGCTTTTCTTCTCTCTTTTTACCATTAACTGTATTTATTTGTTTTAATTTTTATTAGCGGTTTTTAATTTTTTCATCTCACATGACAAAATGTGCAAAATCGAAAAATAAAATACCTTTGTCATGCTTTGTATTCGAAATATAATGTTAGTGTCATTTTAAGTGGGATAAATAAAATAAAATATATACTTTTTATTTACAGTAAAACCGCTGTCTTTAAAACTAATACTGGACAAAATATAAAGAAAAAATGCTTTTTTTAATATGCATTTGTCTACAGATTACAGTGCAATTTAAAGAATTTTGCAAGACAATATTGCCTAAAGAAAGCTTAGTCTGTCCCAAAAAAACAAACTTACGTATTATTTTGTTATCTTAAATAATGGCAAACCTATCGCCAAATACATAGGCCTATAGTGGAAATGTAAAAATTACTCTGCTCCATGAGGGCCTTAAAGGTACAAGAGCTGAAGTGGATACAGACCCAATATCTTGATCAATATTGTATTTTGGTACAGTATGTGACTATATATATATTTTTTTTTTTTATTAAATTTTTTTCACGCTATATTTTTTCACATATTTTTCTCCATGCATGCCAAGCTGTCCAAGAAAACTTCCAAAAACAGTTTAGGACGAACAGCTATACTATGGTTTCCAGTTTAAATAATAATAAAAAAAAAAAAAAAAAGCTACATGCTTGCTTAAAACGTATTATCTGTATTTGAACTTTAATTTGTTAGTAGCTCCATCTAAAGCTACCTATGAAGGGGGTGACAACACTGCAGTGATTTCACTATAGCACGAACAATATTGTGATGAAAAAAAAAAGCTACAAATCAACTGATCTACATGCAGGTTAAACAGCTACACAACTACACTGTGCAAGTGTAGTTGCAGCCATTTTCCCCAGAACTTAGTAAAGCTTCACTTTGTAAAGTATATTGAATTAGGTGCAAGGAAAAAAAAAATCATCATTTTTAGCTTGCACGATTGGATGGTGGAAGTCAGCAGAGCATTACCACATTCGCTAAGCTCTGGGGAAAATTAGCACAATTGCACATGCAAAGTGTACCGTCTATTTGCCTTTAATAAATCTCCTCCTTTGTGTAAAATCATGCAGTGTTTGCACCCACTAATAAATACAGTGACAAGAAGATGGTTTGTTTACATTCATTTTAAGTTTGGCCCTTTCAATGAAAAACAGGCACTTGTGATGGGTGATCCCAATCCTTGCCACTGCATGAAGAATTCCTTTCTTTAGGTTGGGTCATTTTCTGCCGACATCCCCTTTAATGATCAGAGCAAAGAGTGAACACTACAGCCACCGTTATGATACATGGAGATATAATTATCTCTTCTATAAAGTCCATCCTTTCTACCACAGATTTTAATAGAAAGCACTGAAACCTCCTAAATTATTCACTAATGTCTCTTTTACGCCCCATAACCGTAAATAACACAAAGAAAAGCGAAAGGGCAAAAAGTCACCTAGACAAGCACGTCAGTCACTGCGCAGCGCTTACACCTCAGATTTATTTTCCATTTTCTCTCTTAAAAAGCAAAACAGTAAAACACATATTTGTGACCTAGCAACAATAAGGTTTGAAATCCTTTCCAGACCAATGAACTGTGCAATACCTTCAAAAATGGGATGACAAAGGGTCGGAGTGGAAAGTTGGTCGCTTCTTGCAGTTTGGAATGAAATTCTTCAATTGTCAGCGTAGAATTCTGTTGGGTAGTGGAAAAAAAAGGAAAAGCAAGAAAAATGCAATTTAATGGTTTGCCACCACATTCTAAAGGTTAGCAGTACAGAAATATTACAGGATAGGCACTCAGAAGCCACAAATTAATGGATGAAGTGGACATTTTTATGGGTGTGTAATGTAGAAGGGACTGTTAAGGCTAAATGTGGAAAATGTTAGGACAAAATTTAAAACCCACCTCCAGGAAACTTGAAAATTCGCCCATGTGGAGGGGCTTTGCCCGCACTTCTAGGGTTAACTGCTCATTTAGTTTTAGAAGGCTTAGAAAAGTAGAAGATCTACTTACCGATCTTCCACACATCTGTTCTGCTAGACTGGTCTCTGCAGCATCTTCTCCCCCATGCTCTAGTAGTCTAAGGCCCTTACGTCATCAAGACTAATGCGGAGTCCATAGGGACAGTCCACCACTGGAGCATGGGGGAGCACCGTCTGCCGGGGAAGCGGAGGATCAGGTAAGTTAAATGTTTTTCTCTCCCCTAGACTAAATAAGCAGTTAAAAAATCAGATTACTGAGGCATGCCATTAACTCTAGCAGGCATTTACAATAAAGCAAAAGAACTGAAAAGATCCCATTCACATTTTGTTTGTTTTAGGTGCATTGTAGGTACAGTTCGTTAGAAAAAGTCTTGCTTGTTGCATTTGATGCAGTTTTCAGCAATGTGCACCTAACAGTAATCACTAATTCCTTTCTAAAGCCCTTGAAATCTTGTCCAGACCTGCTATTTGAATAGAATCCCAAAACGAAAAACACATTGTCAGTTAAGAATTTTGTTCAGAAAAAAATGTCCATCCTTCTCCTTTACATTTTGTTCCACTAGGGTTGAAAGAAAAGTAGATTTGACCCTACAAACCATTACAAATTTGAACAAACATTCCAAATATGAAAATATTCAAACAAAGCTCTACTGGTGTATGGCCAGCTTTGCTGTATCTTGCCAATGTTAAAGCTAGCATCATGATATTTGGACAGGGCCTGATAAATAGCTAATACATGTTAGCATAGCTGGCCAATGCCTGGTGGATGTCTGTACAAGAACAATGAGTGCTAAGACATCTGCTCACACTTACATTGGCACTTTGTGGGGCCCTGCACAGAATTTCTCTATTGACTGCTAATAGGAATTAGGGGGTGCATAAGTGATGAAACACTTGCTAAATTTTCTACACAGAAAAATAATAATATTGCAGCTCAATTTAAAAAAAAAAAAAATCCAACAAGCTACAAAAGCTGTCAATGAGGGATGAGTTGCTACCATGGGTTCCCCAGGAATCCCCGGAATTTGTAAAGTTTGCTAATAGTGAACTTTTGCCCAAACACTTTGTAGGTCATCATAAATAGGACCAACCTATAGCCAAGTCATAGCCTTTGCTCCTGGTCAGCTTAGTCATAACATCCAACAACTTAAAATAATAAATACCTCAGCCCCATTTCTATAAAAGGGTGGGCTTACAGCAGTTGCATTGTCAATGAATTTTGAAACTCTTAGGGAAAACTGACAATTCTGTGCATGCACATACACAGATTTTATCCTTCCAATCAATTGTAACAACTTGATTTCATACTTGGAATCATTTTGTATTATCTCATAGGCAAGTGCTACATGACCAAGCCTCATCCAATCATTGCAAGCAAACATTAGATTTGTAACCACTTTTAGTAAGGAGAAGGACCTATGTTTCAGGCAGTGCACCAGTTTTTAATTTCATAAAATGTGAAGAGTAATCTCCCAGTTGCCCTCATTTTGGGAGAACACAACAGCAGATATGACCCCACAAGGATGAGGTTTAGCTAAAGCATGTTTGGTTTGATAAACTGAAGTAAGACTTGGGCAAGGTTTAGAGGGATCAGGGACATGGAGGGTAGGGGGGGAACTGGGAACACCCTATTTTTTATTGTAAAACATATTATTTGCCAAAAAACTAGACTGACTGTCTCAAGGTATCACATAACTAAGCCCAGACTAGGACTACATGCCCTGCTACACAGAACACAAACATTCATTATAAAAACACTAGATAATTTGAAGAAAGTACTGCATTGTATGTAAACTGAAAATTGTGCAGATGTAGTAAATAGCAAAATATATACAGCAGTGAAAGGCTATATTACTTTTTTTTTAAATAAAATCCAGCTCCGCTATGCACCAGTATACCATTAACGTACCTCAGTTGCAAAAATATACAAGCTCTCTTTGATCTGGAGAACAAGGCCTTACCTTAGCCTTTGGTAAATTTCTTAGAAAGCTTTTTCAATTCATGGAATGTAGACAGGACATAGGAGCCAGTAGGACCCCGGAAACAGATTATCAGCGGATCTCATTAGCACACACATCCTGCACTGACCTCATTAGTACACACGCTTCACCCAACAACTATTTTTTTCACAGCATCCTCGGAATCTCTCCCCAAGTGCATTTGCCTGGCTACCCCAGCGTCCCTTCAGATGGGCTCAAGCTGCATGCAGCCCACAGACACCCCTGATGTAATGCAAGGGCCTGGTTGATTGGATATTATTATTATTATACAGGATTTATATAGCGCCAACAGTTTGCTCAGCGCTTTACAATATAACGGGAGACAATACAGCAACAATACAGTTCAATACAAGAGGGATAAAGGGGCCCTGCTCCTTGGAGCTTACAATCTAGGAGATATAGAGTGATTGGATAGATGCTGTGTCCTCAAATTATACAGTTTTGGTAAATCTAAAGAACATTGTACAGAGATTGTACAATCAGATTGTATAGTGTATGGCCACCTTTATACACCTAAAATGAACTAGTTGTTCTTTCAGTGTCATTAATTGTTAATGGCACACCAAACACAGAAACAAGCACACATTTTGCCACATGAAAAAACAGGTGACAAACGTAGCAAAACGCACAGTAAAAAATGTGCAACTCACATCACGCCAAAATGTCCCATGAGCTAATTTGCCACTTGTAGCGCAGCCCATTGAAATCAACTGGCAACCCTATGTGTGTGACTGGAAAAACGAGCCAAAAAACATGTGCTCCCTCTACTCTCAGTGTGCATGGGGCCTGAAAGTGAAATGGGTGCGTTTACACAAGAACAAGAACATAGATTCACATCTATGTGTTTCCAAACACAAGGCAATCTGCACAGAAAATGCACACTCTGCCATGCGTTTTGGAAACATGATGCAAATATGCATCATGTTTGTGTTGTCATTACATGTTAAAGGCACCCCAAGTGCGACAAAGGCACCAAAAACTTCAGTAACGCACCATTCTCAGCTCCAAAAAAAAGTTCTGGAGCTTTTCTGGGGCAATTGTTGCCCTATGCGTGACAAGTGAAAACACTCCAAAACACCCAAAACAAACACATGCTGGAATGTGAGTCTTCACTACATGGAGATGTGAATGGAGCCTGACAACTGAGCGTCTCCATCCACTCCCACCTATGTACTTGTATAAAGATGGTCATACTCTATGCAATCTGATTGTACAATTTCTGTACAATTTCCTTTAGATTTACCAGAACTTTGGAATAGAAGGACACACCTGAACAATCTATTCAATTGGTACCAAATCAGACAGGCCCTTGTACTACATAGCTGATGGAGGAAGGTAGTATTGTAATGAGGGAGGTGTGGTCCAGAGTGGTGAACACACCTTATCACACCCTCTTCTGTGATACAACAAGGAAGCAGGGGCGGACTGACCATTTGGAAACTCGGGCACTGCCCGAGGGCCCAGGGTCAGTAGGGGGCCCCATGAGATGCCCCTGGTACCTTTTCCATAGGCTTTTGTGAGTTTGGGCAAGGACACAGGGGCCCCATGATCCCCTATTGCCCGGGGGCCCCATGAGTTGTCAGTCCGCCCCTGCAAGGAAGTGAAGGCTTCTGGGAAGTGGCCTACAGAAAGTGAATGTTGAGAGACCATCGACAAGACATGATGCAATCTGAAAATCTGTTCAAAATCTCACGGAAACTGACAAAAAATGAAATGTCCTGTGGATGAGGTGAGAAAAAATCACATTGGGATGACTGGGCCAGAAATGGCATTGGAAAACGCTTCCATTTATTACGAAAATTTAAATTCTGGCCAAAAAGGTGAACTTACCCTTTAAGTCATCTAAATATCCTCCGTTATGAGTAGGGTCAAATTTCCATCACTGGAGTGTCTAGGCACACAACATTTGACATCTAAAGCAAAGTTAGGGTAACCTCTTCTTTACAAATACATTTTCTTTAATCTAACTGGTAATAAATCAGCTTATATGAAATGATGGTATTCTGAGTGTGTACAGCACATATCTATACAACGTAAAGGCACCTCTTAGCCTCTGACACTACAGGCATGGGCCTTCTGTATCTTATGGCAAATCTGGCCCCGATTGCAAATAGTTTATTATAATTATTATTAGTACTTATATAGCTCCGTCAATTTGCGCTTTACATACATATTGCACATTTATATCAGTCCATGGCCTTGAGAAGCCTACAATCTAAGGTCCCTACCTCACATTCATACATACACATACTAGGGCTAATTTAGACAGGATCCAATTAACCTACCAGCATGTCTTTGGAGTGTGGAAGGAAACCTGGAGAAAACATACGCAGGCACAGGGAGAACATTCATCTCTGTAAGCCTAGGTTCACACTACAGCGGTCGCAGAAATCCCATGTAATTCGCACAGGCACCTCACCGCATTCCTGTACAAATCACATGCGTTTAGAGCCATACATTTTGTAGGGATCTATTTCGCACCGCAACCCGCACCAAAAAGGTGCAGGACCCTTTTTTGGTCCGCACTAGAATCGGATCGCATAGGTATTCACACCTATGTGATCCGATTCTGCACATCGCAGCGCGTTTTGCGGACTGATGTGGGGGTGTCGTTAACTTAACATACACACCCGCATCGGTACGTGTTAACGGGATGTGATTGTGATGCGGTGCGGAATTCGCACTGAAAAAGCTGCGAATTCCGCACCACATCAGTGTGAACGAAGGCTAAAGGTAGTGCTGTGGTTGGGATCCAACCTGACGACCCTAAAGCTTCCAGGCGGAAGTGCTGACTGCTTAGCCCCTGTGTTACCCATCACAGGTTTTGCAGTACTATTTACTGTTATGGGGGCAAGAAAAGAAATGCACGTTTGTGTTTCTTCCAATCCCCCTCCTTTAAGTGACCAGACCTGGCTTTAGCTAGAATATAACGAAGGTCAAACCATGAGGAGCTGCACTGCACAGCACCATTACTTTGTTTAAATTTCTGGTTGAAGAGATCTTCATACTTTACAGTAAGTGCACTTTAAATGCATACTTGCCTAAACTCTGCTCAGTTGTCACATATTATATATTTACTTCCTTTGAGATTACAAATATAAATCAAAGCCTGAAAAGGATCATTCAGTTACAGGTAACTTACTACTTATCATCTGTTAATTCTTTTTTTTTTTCTTTGCATACTCTAAATATGTTATCTGATGAAAGAAGATGTATAGAACATAAATCTGTCAGCACATCATTTCACTATTCACAAGCAAGGATGTATTTAGGACACAATGCGGAACAGAATAACACAATGCAGCCAGTAATTAAACAACATATTCCAGCAATAATGTGTATGGATTTCTCCTTCCTCTACAACATGGAGCTGTGAATAGGCTGCACTTTTTATTGTTTAGTCATTGTCATATGTTAATTCTATAATTATTTTTATAATTAAAAATCGAAAGTGCTGTATTTTATGTTATGTTTCAAGGATTTCACAGGAACAAGTGTGTAACCATGAATAGAAATGTCAGCACACTAGAAGGTTTCTCTTGTTTCCAGTTAAACAGGTCATTGATGGTATAGCAGCTCCACCTATTTTCTTCAAGTACTGCATTGTAATGGGGATGGCTTATCTGAGAGACAGACTTGTAAATGAATAAAACATTTTAATGAATGATGGCAAACCCACAAAGCCAGGTAGCCAAGGTGCATAGTATACTAGTGCTGACGTTTTCCTTTTATTAACCTTTTTTTGTTATCAATTGCAGCATCTGAATCCTGGTTGGTTCCTACAACAAACTGGCTTACATGGCTTGAATGCTATAGAAAGTTATCCATACTGAATGTGAAAAAACATAAAATAAGAGACATTTCTAGATTTTACACGTTTTTAACATTTGTTTCGACACCTGTTTCGGTTGCTAGTCATAATAATACTGGTAGCCTCAAAAGGGCTTCTACTGTGTGTTCTACAAATATATTGTGAGGTCTGGCAAAAGATGTTAGCATACTTTGAAGACAACAACCACTGATCTAAGGAAGACTATACCCTGAACATATCCCATTGACAATGACAGGCTGCAATTGATCTACCCATATACAGGGGCGGACTGACCATTTGGAAACTCGGGCACTGCCCGAGGGCCCGGGGTCAGTAGGGGGCCCCATGAGTTGCCCCTGGTACCTTTTTCAGAGCCTTTTTTGAGTTTGGACAAGAACACAGGGGCCCCATGATCCCATATTGCCCGGGGGCCCCATGAGTTGTCAGTCCACCCCTGCCCATATATATGCACCAAAGGCTTTAAGTAGCCTGGATATATTTAGGATGAGTTTTACTTAACCCTACAGGGGCATTTTTATATATTATTGAGATCCCTTTAAGTGTCCAAAATGAGGAAACAGGTTAATCCTATAGGAAATTGTATAACACATACATGATGATCACTGTCTTGATCACTGTCTTAAAAGAAAGTCCTGTTCACTTATGGGTGTTCTATGAAAACTTAATGTTTGTATTGCTATCTCTCAGTAGCAAATACCAAGGCTTAATGTTAGCAGTCCTGGAAAGTGGAATATTTAATTATGAGCTGTGAGCTCTTCAGAAACATACCACCCCACCCCCCAGTCTGATTATCAGCTAGATCATGTATGTGTTTATTCAATAAGGTGGTGCAATAGCCTGTAAACTTTCATTCATTGGGAGATTGCCCCAGGGCAAATCCATCCAACAGGGACACAGACAGCAATAAAAACATGCAATCCAATGAGAGTGCCAAACAAACACAGACAGCAATTATAGGATATAATCCAATGAGAGTGACAAACAAACCTGCAAGAGTCCAAAGGTAATTTAATTATGAAAATTAATTTATAGTAGAATAGAGCCAACGTGTTTCAGGGACCAAACAAGAGCCTCCAAAATGCATTGCATCTATTTTGCTATGAATCAGTTTTATCATTAAATTACCTTGGACTCTTGGACATTTGTTTGGCGCTCTCATTAAATTGTGTGTGTGTGTACTGTCAACTTTGGATCTTTTCCCTTTTTCCTGAGGGTGGTCCTCATTTTGTTGAATGCTGCCAAACTAGAGTTGCTCAGTAACAATTTCAGTGACCCTTAGAACATCTCAATCCAGCATCCTGATTGCTCTTGTGTTTAGAAATAAAAACATGGCAGAGGTTTTAACCTTTAGCATGCCATGAATCCAAAAGAAACAATTGCCAGAATTTAACATTCTTATGTCCCTCAAACAGATGACATCTTTTTCTTTCCATTGGAGTAAAAATAACCAAACACTTGAGTGCTTACCAACAATTGGAAGTATTGTTGTATAGACTGAATTACTTGAATATACTTGGCCATTTTATAACCACCATCTGTGGTCTGACCACACCAACACAACTGACCATGCAACCATATAAGATACTTAAAGATTTGGCAATTTGATGCTCCATCTGTGCACAGCAATTGTTCCAACACCCAAACAAGGTATTTACAAAACCCTAATGGATAACACAACATAAATCAACCATCTTTCACTGATCTTTACTAGATGGTAGTTGATTAGAATTCAAAAATGATATCTCTTCATATGCAGAGCAATTATTAGAAAACTAAATCTAAAACAACAGAGTAAAAGAAAAAGGAATATGTTGCCCAATTTGGAAAATCCTTCAAACCTCTGCTCATGCCTGGGCCTCTCGCAGAAGACATAAAATAATTTAATGCAGTTATACTGTTTATTTAAAGAGTGAATACCATGGTCTGAAGTCCTGCCTTGCACAATTTATCCCTAGGCATAAACAGGTAAAATTTGCATGCAAGACATAAAAAGCTAGAACTGTGTCAATCTACTCACCACTAATCCAAGCACAAGTGTGCGGACTCTTTCCCCAATTTCTGGTGAAATGTCATTGCCAAACTGCTGTAATGTGGTAAGGAATCGCTTCAATTTACTGAGCTGCCGCGCACCACATGCTGGAGGCAACTGCTGATTTGCCAACGAGGAAGAGGAGGAGGACGAAGGTCCATTACTAAAGCCATTAGGAGGGGATGGAGCTCCATTCAGTGCTGTTGGTGAATGACTTGTGCCATTTGTTACTGATGAATAAAGCAGAACATAGTAGCGTCACTTCTAGTAAACCTTACTATATCATTAGAGCATTAATGCATATTAAAATCTCAGTGTAGTAGCAATGTCTTTTGGACACTGACCATTTTTAAACACTTCGTGCTGATTTGCAATAATAGATCAGGCATAAAAAAACTACAAAGATACACATTACAAAACAAAAGACATGGTGGACAAAAGCGGGCAGGTACAGAGCAATAGAAATGTGTTTACAGTGAATGCATATTTTGGCATACAGTTATGTTTATACAATATTCATTTTTAGTTGCTTGATTTTCTCCTATTTTCATGGGGTTATTTTATATACAGAATTTTCTCCATTAAACCATGGCTACTATACCTCAGAGCATACAATTATGCACCATTACACAATGACTAATAAGATAAAAGGATATGCTACACAGAGGGGATGACCCACAGGAAAATAGACTGTGCACTTGCAAGTGCCGTTGCACTCAATTTCCCCAGAGCTTAGTGAGTCCGGGGTCACACGTGCGGAGTGATTTTCAGGTCAGTTTTTCAGTGCAAATTTCCAAAGTAGTGTTCAGTGGTTCAGCTGTGATTCAGATGCAAATTGGCAAGTTAGGTTTTGGGAGTGGGCAGCTGCCAGTGTCACTAACAATAGCTGGTTGTTAAAATGAGGGCTAGCAAGCCCACTGCCTTGTCATTAACAACTGATGACTCATCAGCTGTCAGCGAGGTTCCCCACTGACAGTTGAATGTAAGCAAAAGAATTACCGGCAATAAAACTTGAGAAGACAAAACTGCATGGGGGTGCCCACCCAATCTATACCAGACCCTTTGGATCTGGTATTAATTTTGAAGGGAACCTCACGCTAAAAAAAAAAAAAAAAAAATCCATACCAGACCCTTATCTGAGCATGCAGCCTGGCAGGCCAGGAAAGGGAGGGGACGAGCGAGCGCCCCCACCCCCTCCTGAACTATACCAGACTACATGCACTCGACATGGGAGGTGCTGTGGGGAAGAGGCAACTTAGGGACGAGGGCCTCTTCCCCACAACCCTGAGCAGTGGTTGTGTGGGTCTGCGGGCAGGGGGCTTATCGGAATCTGAAAGCCCCCTTTAACAAGGGGGCCCCCAGTCCCCACCCCCCATGTTAATGAGTACATTGTAGCCCTACTCATTCACAAAACAAAAAGTGTAAAAATAAATAAAAACAGAAAGACAGTTTTCAACAAGTAATTTCTAAAAACAAAACAAAAACAATGCCCCCCGAAGTAAATCCAGCGTCAATCACGATGAATACCACCGCCTTGGAAAAAAAAGAGCTCTGCACCCAATGCTGGCTCCCGTCATCTGACAGCTATGATGCCTCCCGCTGCTATATAAATTAAGGGGTAGGGCTATCACCAAGTAACCCCATCTCCATCTGACATCATCAACCAGGGCATCAACCCAAAACACATCAAAGAAGTCCTTTTGACCTTGGGTTTACTTCTATTCCAACAATAGTCTAGTTGCAGATACCTGAACTGTCTTTTGTGCCAAAAGATTTGTAATTCTGCCTCAACATTCTTACAATTTACAAATGTAAACTACACTTCAGAACCAGACAAGTGACACCACTATTCTCTGTTTCTGTTCTTCGGGATACTTTGTTATCTGCTTGTTTACTGAATATTGAAATTCAGCATGTTGGTGCCAGGGATACACCTAATGGCACACCTCAGATATACTTGGTGAAGTTGTGGAAGAAAATCAAATGGCTAGTGCTGATTTCCTATATCCAGTTAATGTTATAATGCAGTCCAAAAAGCCAAGAGGTCCATAATTTGTGGGTGCCCGGGACTGCTGCACGGAAGAATTACTTGGCAATGCCATTGGGGCACCAGGTGGATATAATAACAAATACTTAAAAATATAACAAACCCAGTATTTGTCATATTTTCAATCTAGTCACGCTTTCAAATTTTAATTATTAAGTAGGCTAGTATATACTGTATACCTGTTTTATCTTTAGTCTGCAAATGTAAAATCTATATTTTATAGGTAACAACTCTGTTATGAGCCTGTATGATTTCCTAGAAGACTCCAAGTTCCAACAATGTTTTATAGAGCATCCCTTTTCCGGAAAGAATGGCTGAATGTCACAGCATACAATTCATAATTTTCCGATTCATCAGACTTGACTAGCCATTTCAGTGGCATTAAACCAGCAGGATATACACTTCTGAATGTCCCATCAAAGTATCTTTATAAAACATCTATTTATTCACAGCAAACCATTTGCACAATTTATCCTAAATATAGCAATCATGTTTACAGCCCAAACAGACGGTAATGCCAAATTGGTGGGGTAGTTACCATCCTATAGTTCTACAATTTTCGTGATGATGTCATTCATACAGCAGTTACAGGCTCACGGGTAAACAGAGCAGAGCAGTTTCTCTAGACCCCAGGCAGTTGTGTGCTATAGAAAATTATGGTTTCTATTCTGTGCATGCTTTTCAGTAAGAAATACTATGTCCTAATTTTTTAAGCCATTACATGAAAAATGACGATGGATGATGAGGAAGGGTACTTTTGAAATTAAGTCTTTAGGTATTGTGTCAGAGACAAGATATGTGGTGCCTGTCAGCATCTTCAAGGTAGAAAATTGTTCATGTGAGTCAATATGAGCTGAAAAGAATCAAACTGCGCTCCATATATTGGCTAAATACTGATTTCTTCAAGCAGTGAGACAGTTAAGAGTCTTGTCTGCAACAGCTAGGTGAGGTATGTGGGGGAAATTACTAGTGGTGTCTCAGAACAATTTGTTAAAAAAAAGTGATGTAGTCCCTGCAAAAAAGACTTTCTTGGACTGATTTGTGTAACAGATGAAAAATGTAACCATGTATAGGAAGCTTAAAGAGATAGTATAAGAAGCAAAAAGAATTTAAAAAGTCAGGGGAAAGAGGTGCCTGTGCATACACGCAACACTATCATTTCCTACTGCCTCCTTCCCCTTTCTAAGAAAAGCAGCCTATCATTGGGACTGGCCTATAGGATTAAGAGAGAGTGGAAGGTAGCAGCAAGCTTTAAGACCAACACCAACCAAAAATGTTGCAATTTTGCCCTCAGAAAGGCTCAGCATTTGGCTTTACCTGCAGGCTTTTGGACGCTGATAATTTGTGTGGGCAGTTGTAGAAATGTTTCAGGCATCCCAATCACCATGACTAGGATTACCACAGTGTCCTTCTCTGGGGATACACTGGCTATGTGTCTTCAGGGGTACTAAAGATACATTTTATTCTCTAATCACAATTGGACTCAGTTATAGCATATAGAACCTCTCAGTTAGCACTTACTGCTATGGCCTCTCTTAATATGTGCAGATGAAGAGCAGGTAAGAATCTGAAATGGTGTTGGCCATACAGCTTTCAATGTATAAAACCAGCTTGGAGGGGATTGTGTTTTGTCTCAAAAAAGTAGAGGTTCACTTTGTGACCACAATTTGACTTTATAAGCCCAAATGTAAAATGCCCCCCCCCCCCATAAGAACTTTAGTTAACCTTACAACAGACAACTAGGAATGAGCAACTGTGTGTTCCTAATTCGGAGACCTGCTGTCAATTGGAAAAAAGTTATTGTCAAGTTAACTGTTGCATACCAAGGCTGCTAAACTTGGTCTGAATGTCTAAGGCTGGCCATAGATGGATAGTTTTTTTTTTTTTTCATCAAAAAAAATGAACAGACAACCCCATCCACAGGGTGGATGGAGGAATCCTCCGCACTGTGCTATTGTATTTTGACAGTGTCAAAGTACACTGATTAGAGTACACTGATCAGTGCTGAAGTTAATTGGCTAAACATTTTTCAACATTTTGCATTCGAGAGACTTCTCTCAAGCGGGGACGGCCATAGTTGGATCGAAATTCATCCGGTCTTTGCTGAACCGTCTGATTTTCGATCCATCTATCGCTAGCTGTAAGCTTAAAAAAAAAACCTCTGGTCACAAAAGTGTTAATAAATAGTTAACTGGATTATGTAAATGACTAAACAGGTTGTACCACACACCTGTCAACCAGTCAAAAAATAAACAGCTATTTTAGAAACAACCAAGCACCCAACCAAACCGTAAACCACTGCAACACAGCTAAATTAAAAAAAAAGCAGTCTAAGCTACAATTTGCTGTCAAAACAGACAGATCGCTTACCTGGTGTGACAATGAGTCCATTAGGCCCTGGGGCTGCATCTAGGCTAGGGAGACACTAGGGAAAGGTACCACCTGTGACCGGCTAGAAGGAAAGTGGTGGCGATCACTTGGATTTACTGTTATTATTTGAGCAGCAATTGAAATATGAAGAGGATTAAAATGTTCAATATCTCCCAGGAGACATTCATGTATTATTTAGAACTTTCATGAGTGAATTTTAATTAACACTATTTTTCTGTATGAGGGCAGGGAAGGCCTGGGAGGGCAGGGAAGGGCTGGGAACCTTTGTCCTGGAGGTTTCAAAGCAGGGACAAATTTTTGTGAGCTAAATTAAGTGTACCATGCAAAGTGATGTACAGCATCCCATTGAATGGTGGGCATGGTGAAATGTGAGTGTTCCTAGAGGACATGGTTTATTGTGACACACCTTTTCACATGTTCCAGTACCATTTTCCTTGGAATTTGGTCACATGCCATCTCAGAGCTTTCAGGATGCCATGATTGCAGATCTGCAAAAGGTGCAGATAGTTACAGTATATAATGCCCAGCATGCATCACTGACTAGATTGTTGGCACCCTTGAATATTTCTCCATTGCATTAACACATTTTATTGCTATACACATGATTATAGTTCTGTTCTGGTTGATGTCTGAATGGTGAAATACTGAAAATTGTTGGCACCCTTGATATGGTGTATTTCTCACGAAAAATATCTCCATTCATGGTCACCAGGCAACAAAGCGTATTATTAGTAGTACAGGGGCAAATGTCCCCTGCCTTGTTCTACCTGGTATGAGGACCCAACACTTGGGAAGTGTCACACTCATTACTATATAACAGAGGTGGACAGCAGGGAAACTTAGTAGCTCTCCAAAATATTATAATGTACAGTAAAATACTGTATATCATTGGATGATCTACGTAAATACGCCACTGGACTGCTTTATTCCGAGCCTACCAATGTCTTTGAAACTAATATGCTCACCAGGTGGTTTATTTTTTAGGTCATAGCAATAGATCTGCAAAGATGCTAAACACATTTAATAGGTGCAGAATGTCAGGGAATGCGTCATATATATATATATATATAATATATATATATATATATATATATATATATGCACATGAAACAACATGAAACGTGACAGCAAGCAAGTAAAAATTAACAAAGCATTTCAAAATAAACGCTAGAGTTCTCACTAAAAGTGTACTAAAGTTTGCCTTGTCTAAACATTTGCAATTAAAGATGAGCATGTCAAAATAATGCATAAGCACAGGTCATGGGCTGCACATGCCTGCAAACATATATAGGTGCAAGTAGGTCCTAAAAGAAATGTGCACATCAAAGCAACCAATTCCTCCAAAGGACATTTTATGCAAAATTCAGCTGTAGAGGAAGAGGAAGACAACAAGCCTAAATTAAAAAGTCAAAATTTGCAAGCTTTACAAAGTCCAACACTGCATATGATTCCAGCTGCCTATATTTTCAGATTTACTTATTCTGATACATGGTTTTTGGCAATCATAATCTCATATTATGCATAAACTGAATAATGCAAATTTTGGCTTTTTCAAAAGTCAAGCTTGTCATCTTTCCCTTTTAAGACTCCCCATTGGTCCTTTAATGGGGTACATTAACCAACAGGAACACTTGGAAATTATGACAGGGAAAGGACAGATTTATTATTATTATTATTATTATTATTATACAGTATTTATAAAGCGCCGATAGTTCACTCAGCGCTGTACATTACAAAGGGGGTTTAAAGGGTAAGTTCTCCTTTAGCAGTGTTTCTCAACTCCAGTCCTCATGGACCCCCAACAGGTCATGTTTTCAGGATTTCCATTATTTTGCACAGGTGATTTGATCAGTTTCACTGCCTTAGTAATTACCACAGCTGTTTCATCTGAGGGAAATTCTGAAAACATGACCTGTTGGGGGTCCATGAGGACTGGAGTTGAGAAACACTGTCCTTTAGTAACATGTTACTCCCGTATTTAGGGTGTAACATGTAACATTCTGTCAAAGAGCACCTGCCTGGGGATCTTCTCCTTGCACGTGCTGTCACAATTTAAAAAAGAGCTTGGCTGTTCAGGGCTCCACCCATACGGCCGCATCATTCATTCACAGCGATTTGTGAATTAATGAACTACAACTACTGTTTTCCATCGCAGCAGATGGCTTGTTGTTCTCAATTAACTGTGAGGGTGCTGGTGAGCGCTCTCAGGGCTGCTGTCAGAAACCCACAAGGCCCCATACAGCCAATCTGACAGGGCCCCCCATGCAAAAAAAACAGCTTACTATACTTCAGTTATGAATGAATGCAGCGAGTGATCGGTACTAATATCTCACTGTGTTCATTCAGGAAAGGAAGGGGATGGTAAATGGGACATATTTACTGAAACTTTTCCCCCACTCTCCATCCTGAGGGATCCTATTGTCCTAGTGCCTGCAGCTGCTGAAGGAAAGGAGGGAACCTGGCAGTACTGTGGGGGTGGGGGGCCTGGGCAGCAGAGGGAAACATATGGTGCACAAGGAGGGTGATGTGGGGCAATTACTGGAATCGGTCCCCTGTATGGCTCTCTCTGCAGCAGCTGAACGTCGACGGGAGGGAGAGGAGAAGAAGTCGGCTTTCAGCTGCTGCAGAAAGAGCCATACAGGGGATTGGTTCCAGCAATCGCCCCTCCGCTGTTCCAATCAACCTCCCTGCGCACATCTGATTTACCCAGATGCCTGGGCCCCCCTGCTGGCCTGGTGGTTACCTCTTATCCACAGCCCTGAGGGCTCTCATAGTTCATTGATCTTCCTGCTCTCAAGTAACTATCTACCCATACAGGAAGTACTGGCAGACAGCTGACTGGGAGTCTGCAGGAGACGGACATTGCACCCATGATCCACTGATCACAGGTGCAATGTACTGCAGGCCCCAGATGAAAAAATAAATAAATAAAAGCACTTTTTTTACCTTCAAAAATATGTGCATTTTTTTATTTTCGTTAAAGGTTAACTTAGGTATTAAGCTGGCCATACACCGTGTGAATTTGCTTTGGGGGTGGCCCTGTTGGTTCCTTCCCACTCAACATGCTGAAAAATTTAAAAAGTCAGAAGGAAAATTGTTGGTTGATCAGTGGCTATATGCAATCAAGTACAGCTGCTGTTTGGGATATTCAGACTCCCCAGCAGGAGGTTTCATCCATCCATGTATTTACCACAAGACAAACAAGGCACTTGCCTAGGGTGGCATTTTTCAGGGGGGGCAGCACTGCCCCTTGGAAGAAGGGATGGAAGAAGGGATACATGTGACCTGGTGGGTTCCGAGAGATGCTGTGGGTTTCCGGAGCTGTGAAGCTGAGTGTCTTTCTCTATCCTTGGGGGATGGTGGCTGGTGTATGTGGGGCACTGGTAGTGGAAGGCTTGGGTGTTCTTGGTCAATGTCAGGCTCTTTCTGCGGGGGGGGCTGGTGCCAAATTTTGTGTTGCCTAGGGCAGCACAAAACCTAAATACGCCACTGCTCCATCCGAGCTCTATAGTATGAATGGAGGAATGTTTTGGATTTTTTCATTTCATCAGTGTATGGCCAGACTTACTGGAAAAGCAAAGGTCAATATTTGCATATAAATGAAGCTGTCTATGTCTCTGGATCTAGTCACCACTCTGACATATGGCTTGGCTTATACAATTTCCACCGTCTAAAACTCAGTGTGAATTGCCCATGTGTACGACAAGTTTACTTTAAACCATAATCATTACAAGCAGCGAGTTATTTGCCATGAAAGGATTACTCACATGTTGTGGGTGTGAATGAGCTGGTTCTTGGAGCTCCCTGTGTCGTTGGGGGAGGGGGCATTGTTGGAGGTGTCAACCTGGATTGCGTCTTTACATCCACAGGTGAGTCTGGCATCGTGCAGCGCTTCTCAGTACGATCTGCAAGAAAAACACAAAACGCAACCCATCATTTTCACTGTACAAAATATTTCTCTCCTGCAAAAAAAGTACAAATCCCCAGCAATCAGCGTTATTCCATTAAAAACACGACTGCAATTTATTTTATTGCGATTAGATGAAAACCCCCCAGACGGACATTACGTGAAAACCCCCCATCCTATAATCTTTTTAGGGTTTAGAAATTCAGTGTGCACAGATGCTTCCAAGAGGAAGCAATAACAGCAGCTGAAATCAAAAGCTTTAATGGAAGTATGGATGTGAAAGGAATGAAAAGGCAGGACGGTAATGAATCCCCATATGACAGCTCCGACAAACCCCAACCTGATGCCGTGTCCTACAGGTGAGCTATTGGCAGCGATTCGCTTCCTCTTAGGCTCCCCTTGTAAGCAGCACCTGCTGCCCTCTCGGCTGCCTATTGTTGTCATACTGAGAGATGCAAGGAGCCCGTGTAATGCTTGCGAGTCGCCTGGCCCTATTTCCCACCCTATTTTCTCTTGTTTTATTCCAAAGCAACAATGGATAAATACCATATGTCACATAGTAAAAAGCTTTTTCTTTGTTTACACAGCGGCGGATTGTTTATACTTGTTCATTAGGGGGGAAAATGCACAAATAGTCCAGTTGATGCTGCAGCTTAAAAAGAAAAAGATTACAGGTGTATTCCAATTACTGTAAATATTGCAAGCTGGTGTAATTCACAGTCTGCAGTTCCTGTGTGACAACGCCAGATCCAGACGTGTTATTAGTGCTAGAAGAGGTTCAGTGTAAACGTGGATGGTCGGGAAGGAAAGAAAGAGAGGAAGGCAGACATGAACAAATAGGACATTTTTATACTAAAAATAAAATATAAAACAGAAAAAGTGTAACATAGTTAAGGGTAATACCAGGGGCGGACTGACAACTCATGGGGCCCCCGGGCAATAGGGGATCATGGGGCCCCTGTGTCCTTGCCAAAACTCAAAAGAACCTATGAAAAAGGTACCGGGGGCATCTCATGGGGCCCCCTACTGACCCCGGGCCCTCGGGCAGTGCCCGAGTTTCCAAATGGTCAGTCTGCCCCTGGGTAATCCTAAGTGCAGCAAAGCCTCCTTATTTAAAGTATGTCTAAAGCCAAAACTTTTTTTTTGCCAATTTTTTATGCCCTCTGTGTCTCATTGGAGAAACTTTACTTCCTGTCTCAGAGATCTGTTGTCTCATGGGAGGTAAAGGAAATTTCTTTAAAGTAAGGGAAATTCCCTCTTAGAAAGTTCTCACTGGGAACAAGTGGTCCCCATTGGCAGATGTCCCCACTAGTCTTAGGCTGGTCAACGATAGATCTTTTTTCCGTTCAGCCAGTGGGCTGATTGAAAGAAAACAAACAGACTCCCCCATCCGCACAAGTGAGGTGGACGGAGGAATCCTCCCCACTTTTGTATTATGGTAGCGGGGATGCCTCTAATATCAGAATACACTGATCAGCACTACAGGATTGGTTCAGCAGCCAATCGAGAATTTTCCAATAGTCCCATTCAACAGAAGTTGCTCGCAAGGTTGACTTCTGTCGAGCAGATGAATTGAAATTTGTTTGGTCCTTGGTGAACCAGCCAAATTTCTGTCCATCTATGGCCAGCTTGATTCCGGCAACAAATCAAAAGTTTGAATTTTAAGTCCTGGTGACAATAGTTAGACAAGAGAGAGAGGAAGATACATACTCCAAAATGGGAAAAAGCAAGTGCTTTAGGTATGCTTTAAAGGGTTAGTTCATCATTAATAAAAAAAAAACTATTTATGCAAATATGTTCCACCTGTACATACAAACTGTGCAGCTTTGACAAAGGTTGGATAAGGCCCTATAGGTGAAAATCATCACTGTATATCCTGAGGCCTGGCCAATAAAACTCCCAGAGATGGCAAAATCTTGTCCTGCCTTGTTGCTAGGATGTTGCTAAGATGCTCCATCAGATACTGCTCACCTCGACCATCAGAGAAGAGAGCTCTCAACCCCTTGCACTGTCACAGCATCGCTATGCTGAGATCCACTTTGATGGGGGAATAGATAGCATATGTTGGAAGGTTTGAACTGGAGGTTCCCCTGGTGCCACTGGTGGTGAGCAGTGGTGGCTGGGAGATTCTTACCAACATTCTAGTAACAAGGCAGAACAGGGAGTTGCCATTTCTAAGAGTTTTTCTGGCCATGGTTCGGGAGCTAAGTAAACAGACTTAACCTATAGCAAAGGCATTATTCAACTTTGGTTAGAGCTGCACAGTTTGCTTCTATCTACAGGAGCGCCTTACCTGCATAAACCTTTTTTTTTGTTTAAAGATGAGCTTACCCTTTGGAAGGGGGAGTATGTAAAGACTTTTAAAAAGCACCATCCTCAAGTCACTGCAGTCCGCATCCATTTCTGAAGCCTAATAAGCCAAAACCTTTTTTGCATTTCATATACAATTCATTAAACAGGAGAACTGAAATCACCCTAATCATCCAGCAGACAAAAAAGTATCTACAAGAAAAATATTTTAATTTGTTTAATTCACCATTCTGGTGATTTTTTTCACTTCCTGTCTGACACCCATTGAACAGACAGGAAGTGAGGGTATTTCTCCCAATTGGGAACACAGACAGAAATAAAGAGTTTGAACAGGTTCTATGTTTTCCCTAGCTATGCAAATTTAAAAACCCTCTTCCTCAAACCTAACACTCTTTTAATTTACTACCCAGAAAAAATGTCATAACTGTAAGCATTTCAGTTCAGTTGTCACCTTCATGCTATTTTTTATTCTAATTAAAATGATCCCCGTCTTCTCTGCACCCTAAGCCGCTGCTCCTGCTTCCCTGCCATGGTTGCACCTCTGCCTTTAGGTATATGACTATATTACAAAATTACCTTCATTTTGGAAGGTTTAATTTAGAAAAATGGAAATGATCTACAAAAGGAACGGCAGACCTTGTTCAATTGCATAATTTAGGGTCACACAGAAAGGGGGTCTGGATGCTTTCCCTGTCACACCAGGTTAGTGGTCAGTGAATTGCCAATTAATCTGAATGGGCAGGTCTAATGAACTTTATGTGTACTAGAGGAACTATGGGAGGAATATAGTAAACTAATAAATATAAGGCTACATAAATAAATAGACAGTGCCACAAAACACTCATTAGAACCAAACAGGGTGGGAATTTACAAAGTCCAACCCGTAATGTAATATAACATAGCAAATCATATAATTCCAAGAATTTGAATAATTAGATAGCCTAGCCTTAAAAGCAGTAATGACCATAGATGTATATTTTATCCCTCCAGCACTATGCTGGATGACAAGCTCCACTATCAAACAGCTCAACAAGTCCATAAAAAGGAAAGGGAAAGTTGGAAAGGCTGCAGGGGTCTACATTGTCTCAGCAGGTGCCAAATTCATCCAAATCTCCCAGGGGTTTCAACCACCAAAATTAAAAGTTAGTAGCACTGTGCCCCTTGCCTTAAGACACTGGGGCTTTGTTGTTCACTACTGGTCCCTTTTATGACATGAAGTATTGTTTCCACAGAGCAGCAAATAATTGTGTCTGGTAACTAATTATGAAACTGTGTTCTTGAGGGGATTTGCTGGAAAAGAACGTCCAAGCTACAACTATTGGCTGGAGATATGTTGCCCCTTGGAGGTTGGCACGGTATAGGTTTCCCTGATACACATTCTCGTGAAAATCTGAAAAAAAGTCTTCGGTATGCTGGGTTTCTAAGGGCTGCATATAAGAAGATCTCACTATTTAAATCCTCTCTGGCCACAAAGCTTCCTTTTCTTGAAGCATGCTGGTCTTAGATGGACTGAAGAAAACTGCAGAGCCTTTTTACTGGGTTAGCTCATTCTTTGTGGGTCAAGTTGGTTCAAATGAATAAACAATGGAGCCTTCAGCTGGGAACATTAGCTAAAGGATCTCAGAAGTGGGCTGAGATGATGCCTAACACCTGTGTACTAGATTTTCTCAGCAAGCTATTAAACTAGACGCAACCCCAACCCTTGGCTACACAAAGGAGAAGTGTGTGGCTCTTGATGAAGATAGTGGAACAAGGCCAAAAGACAACTCATTTGACAATGATGTTCATTTAAATAGGCACAAGCTGATGCAGATAAACTGAAAAACTTTGTAAACACATGCTTCTTTCGAGAGCAGAAATTAAAAAACAGAAATTTTTGTAATGATTTTTTTTGCAAGTGTTTTAAAATGTTTTTTATTGTATCACATGTAGTAAACACAGTATTAAATCACACAGCGTTGATCAGGGAGATAATGTAACATTAACATATGAAGAGATCATGAAATGACATTTGTGTGTTTACGGTTTCTCTTTACACGGTCCTTTCTTCCCAGAATGTGAAAATGAAGGGTCATTATAATAACAAATAACACATATGAGCCTACTGGATAAAGCAATAGAAGAAGCACATTGTAAAGTGAAGCAACGGAAGCCTAATAAAAGCATCTCATGACCGGTGCACTTTAGATTTACCAACATCCCCATTCACAAAAAAAGTTTTCTTTGTAAGAAAAGCCACCTCCACCATAATAACCCACTGCCCATTAGATAGGAGTGGTAATAAACCCACCTTGTTAAGTTTTACCTACAGGTAAGCTTATAATAAAGCTTACCTGTAGGTAGAATTAATATCTCCTAAGCTTCTACTGTTTAGGAGATATTCAGGATTGTTTTTAGTTGGCGCATGCTCTCTGAGGAAATGCCATTCCTTTAGAGCAGTGTGCTGTGGCTTGTGACCCTGTGCGCATGCGCAGGACTGACGTCATTGTGGCTCAGCTAATCAGATGGTCAAAGATCGCGAACCCTGAAGGAAGACCGGATGAAGATGGAAGCCTTTACAGCAGTGACAGCGCTTTGCTGGAGGGCTTGGCTTTAAGGTAAGTTTCACATAAAAGTGCTAGTACGCGATGCACACTAGCACATTATGCCATTGCCTCTCAAGGAGTGTTTTTCGTTTGTTATACAGTTTACTAAC